ATTGACCAAACTGCCCTTACTTATTTCCCTAAAAGACACGCGCGTTCTTATTCTTGTTAAATAATTCCAATCATATCTCACCACTTTGAAGATTCATTTATTTTTGAAGATTCATTTATTTAAGGGAGAACACTCCGGTGCCCCCTTTAAAATGAGGGTTTTGGCATCCTCTTCACGGGGGCCAATTGTTGTTGATCACGTAGATAAGTTAAATTTGAAATAAGCCCTTGATTTCAAATGAAAGATTTTCTTCCTCTGTTTGCTTAATGCCAAAATCTTCAGGCTCAAATCATTCATCTACACAGTATAGTTCTGGCGGCATCGAGCCGATGAGAAATGTTGGTGGTGGTCTTGAAGCTTTTGTTTCTTCAAATCATCGAGGAGTCCTATTCTTCCCTGTCTTCGTTCTTAAATTGTACAAAAATAGAACAAGACCCAAAAGAGAAGCCATGAGTTCTCCCAGGAGATACTAATGTTCAATCATCATCGTCACTGCCATGAAAGGAACACTTAAGAACTACCTACTATCCTCAAGAAAGAACACTCTCTCTCTCTCTTTCTAGAAACATTTTTGTCAAGGTTCGAAAAACCGGACCGTTCATCGAACCGAAAAAGTTACCGACTCACGGTTCACTGGTCCAACCGTCAATTGAACCGTTATTGAACCGTAATTAAACCGTGACGTCATAATTATATAATATTTATATTTATATTTATATAAATACAAAAAAAAATTTAAGGTCAATATTATTAATTATTTATAATAATATCAATTAATATTCAAGATTTAATTATTATAGTGCATGCAAAATAAAAATAACAAACTATTAATCTATCATTCAAAATAAAGATGAAGAATTTAAATTATAATTGTTTATTTTTATAACTATTTTAAAAGAAAAAAATAGTTCATATGTTATAATTTCTTTCACGTGGTTGCAAATTGACCAAAAAAAATAATATCAAATAATTATAAAAATAAAAATAACATATAAAATTAAAAATAATTAAATTAGTTATATCCATTCTTTGAAATGCAATATAAGGACTCAAATTTACATCTTCTTTATTTTTTTTATGAAATATTAATTATTGAATTAAATTTAATATAAATAATTTTAATTTTATATTTTGTATTACACTTTTAATTTTAAAATTTTTGTGAAATAAGTGAATTATTCATTATGTGATGAAATTAGAATAAGTTAATTTAAAACAAATTGTCAATATATATTTTAACAAATAATAAGATTACACCAAAGTAGTAGTGGTCTAGTGGTAGAATAGTTAGTATTTTATACAATAGACCCAGGTTCAATTCCTTCCTCACGCATTACTTTAACAATTTTATCAAAAATAATTGAACCGGCTGGTTTGCATTGAATCGGGACTGGTTCACCGGTTCGAACGGTTCAACCGCCGGTTCGAATGGTTCGCAAAAAGGAGGCCGGTTTTCTGGAAAATGCGGTTTTCTGCAAAAACCGGACCGGTTATATAACCGATCGACGGTCCAACCGGTCCGACCGGCCGGTCCGGTCCGGTTTTTCAATCCATAAGCGGAGAAGTTTCCGGTGCGAAAGAGCAGTCAAATGTGGCGCCTTTAATAGGCAAAACCAGTTCGAACGGTTCAACCGCCGGTTCGAATGGTTCGCAAAAAGGAGGCCGGTTTTCTGGAAAATGCGGTTTTCTGCAAAAACCGTACCGGTTATATAACTGGTCGACGGTCCAACCGGTCCGACCGGCCGGTCCGGTCCGGTTTTTCAATCCATAAGCGGAGAAGTTTCCGGTGCGAAAGAGCAGTCAAATGTGGCGCCTTTAATAGGCAAATGCAAATCAAATCTCGAAGGCATTAACAGCTATCTTATGAAATTATACTTTGTACAGTCACCTACCCGTTGGTGCTCATCCTCTCGTTGTCGCTGATGCTGCTCGTGTTGCTACAATGGGACAAGAAAGGGTGGGGAGTCCTAGTCGATGGCACTGCTTAGGTGCAAATGCACACCAGTAAGGGGGATCACCGACTAGAAGGTGATGGCCTAGGGAAGGCTAAGGCACCAGTAGTGAGGAAGGCTTGGGGAACACGAACGGGATTAATATTTTTACTTTTACAATTAAGTCTCTCTAATATTGGAATTTGTAATTAAATGCTTTGCTGATGTGTGTTTGTCTTGTATACGTAGACTTACATTATTGGTCCACGTAAGCAAGGGTTCTAAAACCCAAAAAATACTATAGGCACGGTAGAATTCTCCTTATTTAATTAATTAAAAACTTATTAATTACTAAAAATTGTCGTAATTATTCTAATAAATTTAGTTATTAAAATAAATAATTACATAAATAAATTTAATTAGAAAAATTAATAATAATCCAATTAATTTGCATGAGTTGCCTATGTAATTATTTAAAAATAAAAGTATAATAATAATTATTATTAAATAATTATTTAAATAAAAATAAGATTGTTACACTTTTAATAACCATTCAGCCCTAGATCTCTATTTGCTCAGCCTAGCTTTTCGATACATACATGCAATTTCTGTGTCAAGATTGAAAAACTTTTGCCTTTGCTAGCCCCATAACCTTCTTTCTATTATATTAAATTTAAAAAAAAAATTCAGCTCTTTATATTTTATTAAATAATTTTTAACTCTATTCTTATCTTAAAAAAATACTTTTTTTTAAGACTAACAATTGCATAAAAATTTTATCAAAAAAATGAAGGTAACTCAACTTTACTTAACTAAGTTATCTATGTGATTAAAAATTAAAATTTATGTGATTCACTATAAAAAATTATATTTTTAAATATCTAATTTTTATTTTTTAAAATAAAAAACTAAAAATCAAAAAAATTAACTTTTGATAATCTAATTTTACCATTTTTTATTTTTATAATTTTTTTTTATTTTATAATTTACAAGGAGAATATTATTCATTTTAGTTTTAACAATGGTTGATTTAAACAGGATGTTATATTCATTTTTAAAAAAATAAATTTTTAAAATTTGAAATTTTTGTATTTTCGCATTACTTCCTTTAATATGAGAAAATTAAAAAATTCTAGGAATTTTTAAAAAATTAATTTATTAAGAATTTTATTTTACAATTTTCTTACAAAATTAGATTTTTTTATATCCCAAAAAAATAATTTGTAAATATAAAAGTTAGATTTTGTAGTTTTTTTCACCAATATGGTCACTTTAAATATTGAAATAAAACTAAAAAAATCATAAAATAGAAAAATAAAAAAAAAGTAAAATTAGGTTACCCAAAATTCAAATTTTTAAGTTTTTCCTTAAATTTTTAATTTAAAACTAAAAATTAGAAATTTAAAAAATATTTTAAGTAAATCAAATAATATTTTAATTTTTAATTGAATAAATAATATATGCAAATGAAATTAAGTCACCTTTACTCTTGTTTAACAAAATATTTAGGTGATAATTAATATAAGGAGTACATATTATTTTAAAATAAAAATTGAATTAAGTGTTATTTAAAAATATTTAAAGAGAGTAGAGTATTTTTCTTTTTTTTAACAGGGATCAAGTGGAGATAAACACACGTCTATAGAACCCCACTATTCTTGACCACACCTGGACACTCGTCGGATTTAAACCACAGTTCGAATCTGTACACTGTTTGCCTTCTTCTTTTCCCTTTATTGTTGCGGGTATCACCGTCAGTTCTCAAGATATTTCGCATTTCGCGGAAAGAGATCCGTCCATTCTTCTATACGTCCTCGCACATTTTGCACACCAGTTTTGCCATTGCAACAGGTGAAAGGGCCCCCATAAAGCCAAGATCTGTATCAGATCGTCATCCAACGGTTGACTGAACGCTCAAATTTGTGAGCCCCTATTTGGATGGTTCAGATTGAAACAGAATTTTACTGGTCCCTAAACCAAATCCAAGGCAAAACATTCCCCTACGCTAGTCTCCCGAGGAGGTCCCGCTAATGCTTTCACAACCGGATTTCCATAGTCTTCGTACCTCCTCCCCACTATTTGGGCATTTCCGGTTTGCCCATGTACACCCGATCCGAACCATCGACACCCCTGCGCCCGGTTGACCATTGAAGATCATAGGAAGTAGCATCGCAATTTCCCTCATCACAAGAATTAAGGGCTTTTAATATCCACTATATCGCATTGAACATCGAAGCTCCACTTCATATGCCTAAATAGCCATGAATTCTGTTTGAATTATAAGCGTTGCATTTTTTTTTTTAACTCTTTGTAAGTACTAACAAACCATCTATATTTGAGGAAATTATTTGGAAATCACTAATTCTCATTATTCTAGCCTGAAAAACCAGGTGAGATCAAGTTCTTAATTAGTCAACCAAATAAATAAAAATTGATTTAACTTCTTACTCATTTTTGCATTTTACCTTAATTTTGTGTCAGTATTCCTTATCCTTGAAAACATTTATACGCAGAAATTATATGTAGACATTGATACAGCATAATTTTAACTAGAAGTTGAAGCAACACACAGTATTGGTTGGCAAAATGAAATATATTCAATTATTATATTACATAATTTCAAAAAAATGTCATTCATATATAATTTTCAGAAGTCTTAACCCAGAGCTAGCAGGGGCAAATCCTACCTACTGCCATAAAACGTGAGGAATACTGTTTCCTCTCTCAAAGCAAAACTTCATTCTTAATAGCATGGTATATAAAGTTTAAAAAACTATCATAAATAAACCCCAAAAATTTTGCTTTCAGAAAGCCCAGGAGAGGAGAGGAGAGGATACGAGAGGAGTCATTCAGAACTGACAGGTCCACTATATTATGACACTTCCTTGCAGGGTTTAGACAAATCAAAGAGTCCACTGAACAAATAAACACAGAAATGGTTGAAAATTCTAGTTTTTCTGCAATCTAAACTGGAGAAGAAGTAGAGAAGAGATACAAACAATATAACACTTGGATAAACAGTGAAAACGTAAACAAGAAAACCAAAAATTAAAAATGTCGTGACACATCTTAAGACAGTTTTTTCTTTTGCTTTCCTGGTTTCTCTTTTACCTTCTCAATCTTCCCACCTCCATTACTGTGGTTGCTCACAGAGCCCTCCTGAGCACTGCACATTTGAGACCTCATCTTAAACCCAAACTTCTTTGACACGCTTCCCCATGTACTGCTTGAGCCCTTTTCCCGGCCCAACTTTTCAATCTCCTGCCTCATGTTTGAACACTCCTTCTCAAGCTCAGACACCCGCATCCTCATGTTATCCATCCCCACCTTCAAAACCTGATTCTCCCTCACAGCCGTTGCCCAGCCTCCTTCAGTCGATGCAGCCAAGCCACTTCTCAATTGTCTTGAACCATCGAGATTATCTGAAACCAGGAAGCAGCCTGCGATGGAAGTTCTGAGCTGAAGCTGCTCAAAGAAGAGGACCTGGACTATTATTCTGAGGGGCAGCCTCTCATTTTGTGCAGCATGTGTGCACGCTTCCAAAGAGAGCTTCTGGCAGTCCATCAGCCGACAGAGCTGTTCTCTATCAGACTCTGCCAACCATGGGTGTGACTGCAGAAAACCAACAAAGGATTATAAGCATTTCTTTTTGGCAGCGGGTGGCTTTTCAAATAATAAGCACATCCTGACTTAGTTAATCCACTCAATTGTTTTTCTTGCTTCATCCTGTAGGCCTAGAATCAGATCTTATTATCACTTAACTTGAAGTTGCATCCTCTTGATGCACTAAAAATATACAAGACAAGAATCATGAACTCAGAAATTGTCCAAGAACCAAAACCCAGCCTACCACAAAATCCTGGGGACAAAGTAATCCAGGCATCCATGATGGGTCATATAAGATTGGCAGCAACAACCAGGAGGTCGAATTATGATCGCAAATATAATAACTGACTAAATAGGTGAAAATGACTCTTATCACTGATATTCCAAATTGATTCTCAATATATGTATTCTAATTCTTAAAATTCCACTTCAAATATAAATAGTTGTAACAAATTTTCACTTGAATCCCCAATTTTTTTTTATATTACATTAAGAGAAGATAAAGAAAATATTCAGCATTCAGAATCCATTAGGGAAGGCTAGGATGAAATAGAATCTCCAACAGGCAGAAACAGGGAAAGAGACAGGTGGCAGGAACAAGGATGGTGATCTGGGTATATTTAGACAGTATTCTACTCTGCTTCTTGTTCTCAGCTTTCATTTTCCAGGTTTCTGAAAACAAAAGATGTTAAAAAATCTGGAAAACTCCACCACCTTCATATTGTTCTCATTTTAGCTCGAAAATACTTTCTGAGAATTCTGAATCTTTTGTTCGTCACTGAAAATGGGCCTTTTCGGGAAAGTTCTCCCAAAAGCAATATTCGATAGCAACATACAAAATGGGTTCTCTCTTTCCCAAATTAAAAAACTATTTTCAAAAACAAACAAATCCAAAGAGGCCCGGGTCCCAGCCTAGTAAAATCTCTACTCAAGTTCAGCAGTAATCAAGAAGTCTTACCTTCAGATAAATATCAATTGCACGGTAGAGGCCATCATCCAGGGGTCTGGCATATTCTGGTACTGTAGCTGCAAGGGTCTGAAACTTGGGGAGCTTCAGATTAACATCAGGGGCAACTTCTGCAAGGTATCCGTCAATCAATTTGGCCACCATTGTGATTGGTGTCAAAGAAGGCGAGCCAATTAAGTGGCCATCATCGACTGAACAGGGAGAGGCCCCACCACCACCCGTTGCCTGATCTATGGCCAGAAAGTGCTCAAGAATTCGCTGCACACAATCAACATTATAAAGAGTCTCCATGGAGTATGAAAAGTTAGGCATCAAGAGATCTTCCAGATTAGCCTGATCAAGCTGCATCCCAATCCTTTTCTCTAAGTTTGATATGCAAGAGGGGCTTGCTCGAAGAATCATGGCTGTACGAAGTAGACCAAAAAGAAATTTGGTTGAGACTAAACCCTTCTGCATTGGAAGTAACCTATCAATTTCTTCAAGTAATAGCTTCTGCTCTTCTTCAGATGGTGGGACTGGTGCCAACCTACTGCTAGATTCACCACTCCCCTTACGCCGGTTCAGTCCTGGCAAGTACTTCTTCGCATAATAAGTGAGAGAACCTGCAATTATCTCCTCTCTAATACCTCGACATTCCATTGCTGAAATTAATCTTTTGTAAAGAGGCAAACTCAAGCTCGAGACATCTTCGTACCACCAATCTGGACTAGAATTTTTAGGCCTTGCCCCTGTGCTTATGCCGTTCCACAGTAGACTCCCTCCTGGACTTTGTAGAGGTCCACCATGCTCCATGATGGGCCACCCAAATAGATTTGGATCACTACTAGCCTTCAGAGCTAGGGACTCGATGCACCTCTTAGTGATCTGAAGTTCTTCAGCATAAGGTAGAATATCATCGCAGGTTTCAAGTGCATTAAGAGAGTCTTTCCAATTACGCAGGACTACTTGGTTGAGAAATAGTTCGGTCTGGGAAATTAGATTGCCCTCTCCATATTCATCTGTCATTTCAAGATGCTCAGCAGCACATCGTAAGTATACTACATTTGAGGACGTTAGTTCAAGTTTCACTCCATAGCAGAATTTGGCTACAAATTCAAATGTCCTAGCTCCCCCGGGGATGTCAGGGAGCTTGATGATGCAGCCCTCTTCTCCTTCATCGGATGTTTTTGCAATCAATCTTTCCATAACCCCACTTCTAGAAAGTAAAGGGAACTGCATTCCATGAATACTAAAAGGCATTAGAATTAGAAAAGCAAAGAAGTTTCTAAAAAATCTGTGCATGTCTGACCCCACAAAAGTCATATGTGTTCGCATATTATTTGCTAGAGTGTAGGAAAAAAACATGCCTTCAATGCGTAGAACAAAGTTCTATGCTTGTAATTAATAGTAACAATTGCTGAAAACTACTTGAAACCAGTTCTACTGAATAAAATCTATAGGGCACACCGTTTCGACTGATTAGGGCTAGACGTGATTAATGAGCAATCTTATGGATTAGTCACCATCTGGATAAACAACATCACTCCCTTATATTTAAACACACACACACACACACAATGTTAATTACATCCAACAGTTGAGATAAATTATTTCACCAGTGAAACACAACCAAACAAACATTCCCCACCACTCACAATTACAAACCATATTTATGCAAAGAATATTACCTTGTGGAGATGGAAGGACATTTCTCCAACTTCAACAACAACATCACTTGGCAGGCCAGTTGTGCAGAACCTAAATTATTTCACAAATAAAAGTCAAAATCAGTATACAGAAAAACAAACTTGTGTCCATATGTAAACTAACATACTGTGTCCAATCTCAGAATCAAGCTGTACACAATCAGTCAAGAAAGGAAGCAACATGGAATCTGGTACCATCAATGATTCACGCCAGCAGTGCATCTTCGATACAGTGGTTAATGGTAGCGTATATATGAATTTTACATAGGAATTTGACTTTATGTAGAATTGCATATAATTTTACAAGTTTTGTAGTTATATGGCTCCATGTAACACAGCTAAAGGTAACAAATCCTCGAACCATTCAGAAGTAAGCCTACTTCCAAGATGAACCTTCACTTTAACATATTCTCTTGGTCGACAACATATGGTACAGGGAGAAGAAATAAATTAAAGTTCCAATATTTGATGAGCAAAAAAGCAAATGCTGAAGTGGAAGTCCACAAAGTTTCAATTATTAAAAAGATCCACTGGCTTTATTTCAACGAATTTGTAAATAAGCATTCACCATAAGCGCACAGACGAACGCGCGCAACACAAACGCCTCTAAAGCATTTCTTTCAGTGATTGGAGAGGCTGGTTTACACACACACAAACAGAGCACAAAGATAGCAGGGAGAAAAAGCAAAGAAATTCCCTTATTAACAAAATCAAATATAAGATATAATATAAGATTATTTTCAGAGAAAGTATAGTGTAGAGCCTTCACATAAGGCAAGCCACAGAGAATAGGAGACATACCACGCCTGCCCTTGCCTCCGGAATGCATCAGTTTTGGATCCCAACTTCATACAAGCCATCTTTTTAAGCAACCCAGCTGAAAACTTCAAATGCAGAGATGCAATTAGACTATAACCCAATCAAGACCCAAACCAACCTTCACAGACTCCTTTCCAATTCCTAAACCACCGAATTCAACCAGATTACCGAGGAAAACCAAGGCATTTTCGTGCCTAGAAACACAAACCTATGTAAGTTGGGTCGCTCAAAATTATAAGCCAGGCAAATCTCACTCCGGAACAAAACCACCTCTTTCAGACCCTTAAAAAGCCGTGATAATGCAGCTAATCCCAGGAACCACCCAAAATTGCAGAAACTCACTTCAAAGAAAAACTCCAATTTTGGGGCGAAGCTGCCACTTAATAGACCAAACTACAGAACAGTTGTCAAAACCCTACAACCACTCCCAGAATAATTATTACCCACTTCGAAACAGAACCAATCTCAGTCCAAAACCACCACTTCAAAAACAAAATAATTCAAACAAGACAAAGTTTTAGGTCACCACTTCTATCCTCTGCCGAACAGAAGGAAGAAAATATACTAAAAAAATAAACACCAAATTGCCCTGACACAACCCCCTTCAATAAGACCCCCAGAAGATTCCAAAATTCAACCCTCTATGGCGAATACGAAGACAAAGACTTCCACTGTTCCACATCCAATAAAAGAAGAAGAAGAAGAAGAAGAGGAGGAGCACAACGTGAAGAAGGCGGCTATCTCTCCCCAACCCTCAACTGGTAATGTCTAGAAACCATGAAAATGCAAGGCCCCACGCCCTCTGTCAACAGAGGACTTGAAAAACTCAACAAGGGTAATCAATAGCTCCCCTGAAAAAAGGAACCTTCTTCGCTCGTGTGGGTCCTTCGGCTGGAGCGCTGCCCGTTGCTTTATCCTGGTAATTTATACTTGTAAACCAAAAACAGAAATGATATTAACAAAACATTGAATCATAAGCAAAATAAGTAATTATATTTTATATTTTTATTAGTCAAATTACAAATTTATTTCCTACTTTTACATATAAAAATTTCATTTTGCATCATCATAATAATTTATATTATATAATATTAGCATGTTAAATCAATATTTAACATATCAAACACTTTTTAAATTAACTTGGTATGATGACAGATATAGAAATTCATATTATAATAATTGTTTAGAAATCATGATTAATTTAACAAATTAAAAGTAACTGATATCCGTTTGTACAGCTAGGCCATGTGTATCCCTAGTAGGGTATGCATAATTTATTTCCATCAATGTGCACTATAAATTTGTTTATAAATTTGAATGTTACAAGTATGATATTAGGTCTCATTCTGCTAGTGTGCCTAAAAACAATCGTATATTTAATGGAGAAAAACTTCCTCCTTTGATTTGGTTAGGGCTATGGCTAACGAAAGCACTTTGTCAAAAGACAATATCCTTTAATTTCTTGTATTTCATTTCATTTGGTACAAAAGAATTAAGAATGAAATCATATGGAATAAAGACAAACAAATAAATGCAATGGGCATATGATGGAATCTCAACTTAAAAAATCAAAGTTCACTATATTATAAGGTTGCCATGCTTTTTTCAATTCTTTTTTTTTTTAAAGTTGGCAGATGAGTGATATTTTCGTTTAATTTTTTTTCGTTCAGAAATTAAATTTGAGTGAATAATTTGAGAAAATTAATCCACTGACTAGTCAACTCTAATACAGCACATAGCAATAAATTTTAAAGGATCATATTTAATTTTCTTTTCTCTCTATTTTTTTCTTTGTAATGGGATGTAAATAGTCTAGATTTATTGCAATTTGCAACAAGAGCTCAAGTTGGGTTATTAATTAGTTCATGCCAATGAAAGGCACTTGGTTGATGCCACATTTTACCCAAATTACCATCAAATTATCTATAAATCAATAGATAATTTGATGGTATAAATGATGTGCTTCCTAGGACTATCAAGTATACAAATTACCTACTTGTTGTAGTTTGCTATTAATTATTACTTAGGATTGAGAAAAAGAAAAAAGAGAAGATGAGAATCTAACAATGAGGAGAGCTAAAGAAGTATGAACACAGTTCATGCCTTTTTGGTCAGGTGCTTTAATGAAAAAGCAAATGATTGGTGTGGGCTTAAAAATGGAAAAGGTAAAAATAATTAGGAGATGATCAACTTATCCATCAAAGTCCATCTTTCTATGTTAGATTGCCGTCAATAGTTGTTCATTGCTCCCCCTTGTTCGAATAAATCAGCATCTGAAAGGAAAAGTTTGATTTTGGAGATTTTTTTTTCCCTTTTCGAGTTTTGTTTTTAAGGTGAAAGTTTATATTTACAAAACAAAATGGTTCTTAAAACTAATATTAGTAATGAATTGTAGTGTAGATTATATAGAGGAGTGAAAAAGAAAGCATACTCCAATGACAAGCTTTAGCTCACATAGAAGGGGAATATTATGGATATTTGCCTGCACAGGGTGGGAGGTGGTTATAGTTGGAGTTAGGGTTTACAGTATCCACCAAATTGATCTAGAACATTATGGTCCCAATCCAATCCCATTAAAGAAGGGGACCAAATTCAGTATGTGTTCAAGTCAACTTATTCTATCGTGAATTTAAAAAATTATATTAACAATTATTTTTAATATTATATTTAATATAATAATGTAATATTTTATCTGAATAATAAATAAATATTAAATAGTAGTATTATTTTTATATATTTAAGTGATTTAAACTAATAATTGAGAAAAAATTGATAAATATGCCTAACATGAACCTACAACAAGTGGAGTTCAGAGGAAACAAAACTTAAATCCGATTAGACCAAAACCGTTGCTACTCTTAGCTAGATTAGTGGTCAAAGAAAGGAATATGGATAGAAATATGGATCTAGAGCAATGTTTTAAAATTGGATTGAAATGGGTAATTGATGTAGTCTAACTGTTAATTGGTCATATTATAATTCTAAATTTTGTTAAAATTAGTGAAACTAAAAAAATTGTACTATTTCATGAAAATTGTTCGAACTAGTGTTTCAATCATTCGAACCAATGAAGCGTTCACCATTCGGTGAAACTAGAATGGTTCAGCGAACAAAGCAAATCTAGTTTCTAGATTCCAGTCGAAGCTTTGCAACAAATCATCAATAGAAAAGAGAGAGCTCGCAGAAATTAAAGACACAGTAGGAAGTAAAGTAGAAGTTGACACTAATAGTTGATGAAGAAACCTACAATGATAGAGCGATCTAAAGCAAAAATAGAGCCAACGTTGAGCAAATACATAGTAGAGAACTAGAAGCTGAGGTAGAGGTAGTTGCTTTCAATCCATCCTCAAATCAACCAATGCCACTTCTTCTTCTTTCTTATTCCTCCTCCTCCTCCTTCTCCCCCTCTTCCTCAAATTTACCATTGCCAAGCCATTTTATACCAACACTACTTTGTCTCTCTTTCTCATTGTGCCTCCTCAAACATATACTATCACTCCTTCTTCTTTCTTCCTCCTCCCTAGTAAGTCAAGTGTAATAATAATGAGTCTTTTGGAATGAGAATCTAATTGGTGCAATGAAAAATGCGATCCCATCCACATGAGAATCCTAAATTAAGAGTTTACAATAAAGGAAAAGCGAGTTTGGAAGTCTACGAGAGCTTCTGAGGTTGTATTGTTCTTGCCATTTTTGTTTCTAATGAGTTGGATTACTCAGTTGGAAGGAGAGGCATCTCTGTGGTGTGTGAACTCATGGACATGGGGATTGAAGTTGGTGAAGTTAAAAGAGATTCATTCACTTGAAACTAGGAGTACTAAGAATAAAAGGAGGAGGAGGAGGAAGAAGAAGAAGAAGAAGAAGAAGAAGAAGAAACTTATTGACAAAGGGGGATAAAGCTCTAATAAATGAAGACGAGTGTTCCAATAGTTGCAAGCAAATCATGGATAACTGGTGTGCTTGTAAGGAGGTTTAACTTGTCTTCTAGTAATTTGTAGCATCAAAATGTTGATGGATTCTGTGTTTTTGTTATTGTTTGTTCTTGAACTTAAATTTGGCCTAGTTTTTTTAGTATAATAGTTTAACAGATACATGATCTCAGTATGCGCCAGTCTATTTTGTTCTGACCTTTTCTCTTATCTTTTTAATTTATTTTAAAAATGTCACGACCCCAACTCAGGAGCTATGATCGGCGCTAAGGATGAGCAAACCATCCTTGGCAAGTCTCGGTGAAGGTTTGTAGAAAATTAGCCCAAGTGCGGAATTTTCTAGAAATTCCGGCAAAGTCTCCCCTAAAAGTCAGACACTTTCCAAAATTTTCACCTATCAAGCACGCATACCTAATATAACAAATTCCAATAAAATCCTATCACATACTATAACGTAAATTGCACAAGTAAGCAATCAACAAGTAATAAACCTTTTTGATAACAAAAGTGGAATTGTAAACTTAAATCCCAAATCAATACAACATCATGCAACCCAAAATGATAAGATTCCTATTCGTGGCTAATTGGAGCATTCTAAACACATTGGAGTCAAAAAGTTTTGCTTACAAAGATATACTATCAACACAATATACATTACAAAAAGTCTAAGCTCACACGCGATTACAAAAGTGTGTAGTACTCACCAAAAGGAGCTACTAGAGCTCAATAGGGAGGACTGATAGTGGGATTAGCACTAGAATCTGAGGGGGAGAAAATAAAATGTGAAATTCAACTCAGTGAGTAATAATATGCTAATCTAAATATGAGAAAACATAAAGTAATATTGGTTTCACTGTTTAATTATCAATATATCATCATGACATCACATATATATCACAGAGTAACATGAATGCAATCCAAATGCAAGTAGTAGATAAATAGCAGGCTGAGGTACAGTAGGCAAGAATCATGGGTGGAAATTGTAGATGGAAATACAGCCGCCGTCTGTCACAACCCAAACTAGGGGACACGTGGCCGGCACTGGGGTAAACTTATCCACCCTAGTTAGCCTCAAGAAACACAACCAAACTAATTCTAAATGTAAAATTTTTCTGAAAATTTCGGCAGAACCTCCCCTAAAAATAGGATATGTCGCAAATATTTCAACTTGTGAAAAATACAATTTAAAAGTTCTAATAGTGAGTCCAAGCAATTTAAAAACTAATAAAAGTAAAATCTAACAAATTTCAACATATGTTACTATTTTCAACTACAAATTATCAACCTATACACTAACAAGAAAAGCTAACAATTAACTATAACAAAATCAATAATAATACATGGAGCCAGTCAACTAAGAACTCAGGGAAACGGGATCTTTCCTGTGGACAAATGGAGCAACTCTACAATAACGAAATAAATATGTCCAAACACATAAGCAGACACAAGGCTCACCAATCAGGAAGCTTCTCTAACGGTAAATGGAACTGAGCCTAGAGGGGGGAAAAATAAAAGGATGAGCTAGCGCTCAGTGAGTCATAATATGCAAATCCAAGTTTCAGAAACCACAAGGAATACAAAGAATTAGCTAATTCACTTTCCTCAACAACATTTGTAATATTAACCGAAGCCATCACACTAACAATATCCACATGCAAACAATATGCATATCATTCGAAGGCACTTTATCAAAAGCCGCAGTACAACACATACACATCCGGGTCATCAAAATATATCCAACATACAAAGAAATACATGTAGGCACTGTAGGCGGGAATCACACGTGGGAATCATAGGTGGGAATCACAGGCGGATCTACAACTACCAGTTCTGCTTACTACCATCCTCACTTACTATCATCCCTGTTTACCACCATCCCTACAATACCTTGAGGTAACAATTGATCTAAGTTCAACCACTTATCAATATCTCATCATCAAAATCATTTTGTTTAATTCAAATTTCATTTTCACATCATGGTTAAACACACACATAAGTACGTGCATTCATCCTCTTGTCAAACAACTAATAATGCATAAAGAAATAACAGAAAATTAGAAATCTCATAAATTTTACAGAAATACATGAAAACACATATTATCACTCACAGTAGAAGTCAAATAGTCAGTTGGCTTCGAGCGGCTAGAGCGGCACAAGTTTCGAGCAGCTCAAGTTGAGTTAAGCGGCTTTAAGTCGGGGCAGCATAGACCCGTTCAGTTTCAGGCGGCGCACAACAGTCGGTTTCCAACAGGCTAAAGCGAGTTATCTTCCAAGTGACGCATAGCAGTCCACATCTGTGCAGTGCACAATGGGTTGATCCAAATCTGGGTGGGCTTGAATGACTCGATCTCAAGCGACTTGAACAGGCAATGCATAGTAACTGCTTTTAGGTAATGGATGGCAAACTAGTTTCAGACGGCTAGAGCCAAGCCGTTGGAGCTTTTTATAAAAGCCGTTGACAACGGAGGTGCGAGTGCAATCGGTAGAGCTGCCGGGGCCGTAACCCAAATGACTCCGATTAGCGGCGTTGAAGTGGTCGAGGGCCTTTAATTGGACCTTGATCAACTTCGCTTTCCTAAAGGCCGAGGCGACATCGCTGTCCATGCAGGATCAAAGATCTCAGATGGACTTGGCCTGTTGAGAGTCTTACTTTGCTTATGACTGCTCTAAAGACTAAAGCATAAGCCCTCAAGCTCGCACAGATCGTCCTTGATCGCCTCCACGTCCTCGAAGAACTTGTCGAGGTTCACGCATCCTCCATCCTCGACAGATCTCTACATCTGCACGTTGTTAGGAGAACCACTCCTAAATCTGGTGAAGGAGCCTCGCTCCAATCAGCTTTCTATTACACGAGCTTGCCGAAACACCCTTTCTAGCGACACACTCCTCCTTCCACTTCACCAGCACTGGCTTGAGCCTATCGTCATTGAAGCTCCGGTGCTCCGGCCAAATCCTAGTGTTGATAACTCGGATTGCCAGATTCGACCCATAGTCCATTCCTTGAGAAGACCCTCACTGTCTGATGACCTCAGACCCAGAAACTCTGGGGACCTCATGGTCAAAACTCGCGGGGACCGATTCCAAAATGATAGCTACTATGCCAGGGAGAGCCTCAAGCTTCTTGGCTTTAGAATAAAAGAGCTTTGTCGAGAACTCGTGGAAAATAGTGCCGTATGTGTGGATGATGCGACTGGTCACGTTGTCGCGAACAGTGGTAAAGGAGATAGATTTGACGGAGGACTCAGACTAGTGCTTATGGGTTGGGAAGACAGAGGGTTTGGCGTTGTGATTTACCCAAACTATGAACATCTTCTACAATTGTTCCCCGACCAAAGCTAGGTCTAGTAGAACTAGGACCGAAGATACATAAAAGACAAAGAAGAATGAGGTTGAAGAGATCGCCATTACAGTTGTTGTTGCAGGCTTAATTACTTACTCAGAAATGCATGTATATATGCAAGATTGAAATGCAATGAGTAGATAAGTGAAGGCTGATGAGTAAAGTGGGTCAGAAACTCTCCATAGAGATGAGGAGAGAGATAGAAAGAAAAGAAAATAGAAAAAGAAAAGTGAAAGGGGTGTTCGACTGGCTTCCTCCTGAAGTTTCTACCCCTTTCTTCTTCTTTTTTCCCTCTTATCAAGTGTTACACCATCCCTGCTTACCACCGTCCCCGCTTCCCACTATCCCTACTTACAGACATCCCTACAGTACCCAAAACTCAATAAAATGGCATCATCCATAATCAATGCATACAGCACTCATTTTCATTTTTCTCATATAGTGCCTCATTCATAATCTCACATAAATCACATACATTAACACACTAAACAAGCATAGAGGAGGTTATAATACTTGCAAAATGTGGGGAACTCATATTATTACTCACTGTAAAAGTCAAACAGTCGGTTATTTTCAAATTGTCTACCCGATAGTAGACAATAGATCGCAGTACAGCTATATAAGGCACGAGACCTTCCAATGCTCTAGAGTGAATGAAATCGGCAATGAATAGCCGACAGCCTTATGGTTTGGTTAGATCTGTATGTACGAAAAATCAACCCCCCCACGTGTCTAGCCTTAACTGGCCGGCTGAAATCCCCTGGGAAGATCTACTTTCCCCTCTTGTTTTGTTCTATTGTTTCTATTTTTCTCTTTCTGTTTCCTGATTTTTCTTTTGTTCCTATTGGTATCCGCATAGTCACTTTTTTCTTCATCCGCGCCTACCATTTAGTAAGGGTTGGTCTAGTCAATCTGTACAAGGGTGACCATTTAGAGTAGAACTCGTGCCAAGGTATGTTCTTTTCCCTCTCTTTTAGCGGTGACTAGCAGATCTAATAATAGCACACAGTGCCCGGCGTTCGGTGTTCGGTGGCAGCAATGGCATAGGCGACAATGGCTTGGGCGACGCAATTTATGTGGTTGGTGGCGTGAGTGAAAAGTCAACCTGCGACGTGCATAGTGAAGAGGAAAGGAAGAGTAGAAGGGAAAGGAGGAAGAGAGAATGGAAAAAGGGGAAAAGAAAAAGTTAGGGGAAGGGAAGAAGGATCTGGATGCACGACTCACTTTTCACCCTTTTTTCGTAGATGTTGCATTATGCCCCCTTAGAGGAAATTTGATCCCCGAATTTTAGAATGCACACTTTAAGCATGGAAAAGATGGAGGTATTCCCTCACATTATCTCTTTGGCTTCCCAAGTGGCTTCTTCTCCCAAATGATTCTTCCATAACACTTTCACTGAGGTAATTTCCTTTTAATGTAGTTTCTTTACTTGTCGATCAAGGATGGCTACTAGTTCCTCAGTGCAGGTAAGTCTGCATCCAATTGGACATCTTGGAGAGTTATCATGTGGGAGGGATCTAGCAAATACTTGTGCAGTATAGAGACATTAAACACTGGGTGCACTATAGAAAGCTCGGGTGGAAGTGCCAATCGATAGGCCACTTTAACAATCTGTTCCAAAATCTCAAATGGGCCGATATATCTAGGGCTGAGCTTCCCTTTTTTTCCAAACCTCATCACCCCTTTTATGGGAGACACTTGAAGAAAGATATTGTCACTAATGGCAAACTCCAAATTACGGTGCCTATGATTCATATACGCCTTTTGTCAGCTCTAGGCAACCAATAATTTGTCCTTTATCAATCGCACCTCATTCACTGCGTCCATCACCAAATCCAAGCCTAAGAGTTTGTTCTCACCCACCTCGAACCATCCAATAGGGGATCTACAATGCCTACCATATAAAGCCTCAAAAGGTGTCATTTGAATGCTCGCTTGATAGCTATTATTGCAGGAAAATTCTATCAAAGGCAAGTAATGATCCTAGCTCCCTTTAAAATCTAGAACACAAGATTGTAACATGTCCTCCAAGATCTGAATCATCCTCTCAGTCTGGCCATCAGTTTGAGGGTGAGCTAAGATCCACCTACATCTCTAAGGCCTTTTGGAAGGCTCTCTAGAATCGTGTTGTAAATTGTGGGCCATGATCAAAAATGATAGAAACTGGCACTCTGTAGAGTTTAACAAGCTCATCAAGATATAATTGAGCATACTAAGATATACTATAGGCCATCTTAATCAGACAAAAGTAAGCCGATTTCATCAACCTATCTACAACCACCCATATAAAGTTATACCCCTTAAAGGTATGTGGTAGCCCCAGGACAAAGTCCATGGTGATTCTTTCCCTTTTCTATTCCGGTATTTCAACTTGCTGATGCAATCCCGTTGGTTTTTAATATTTGACTTTTACTTGTTGGCAAACTAAGCATCGGGAAAGGTAGTTTGCTATGTTGTGCTTCATGCCTTCCCACCAATATGATTGCCTCAAATCCTAATATATCTTAGTAGAATCTGGATGAACCATGTACTTAGAGTTATGTGCTTTCTCCAACATATTCCTCCTCAGCTTGCCCACATCATGCACACTTAACTGTGAGCCACATCATAATATCACTTTAACATCAATCTCCAGTGTTATATTCTTGCCCGTCTAGACTTCCTCCCTAAGCTTACAAAGATTGGGATCTTGATTTTAACTCTCTTTAATGTGCTCAATCAAATAAGATTGAGCTAGAATGTGAGCCAATAATGCTCCAGAATCCCCAAACTCAAACTACATACCCTTTGCTCAAGCTTGTGAATCTTCTCAACTGATGGCCTTTTAACAGGTGCAATGTGTGCCAAATTTCTCATGGACTTTCTGCTCAATGCATCGGCAACTACAATGGCCTTGTCCAGATGATATAAAATGTTGCAATCGTAATCCTTAAAGCAACTCAAGCCATCTTCGCTGTCATAAGTTCAGATCCTTTTGTTGAAATATATACTTTAAACTCTTATAATCTACGTATATCTCATAAGTTTCCCCATAAAGATAATGCCTCCAGATCTTAAGTGCAAAGATCACTGTCGCCAACTCCAAGTCATGCGTGGGGTAATTTTGTTTATTTTTCTTTAATTGCCGTGAAGCATATGCCACCACTTACTCGTTTTGCATCAAAACACACCCAAGTCCTACTCTAGAGGCATCACAATACACTGAAAACCCACATGTGCCAATGGGTAATGTCAACATAGGAGCTAAGATCAAACAAGTCTTGCGCCTTTGAAAGCTCTCATCGCATGCATCGGACCATTGAAACTTCAAGTTCTTTGAAGTCAACCTAGTTAAGGGAGCGACTATCTTAGAAAAGTCTTGTACAAAATGGCAATAATACCCCACTGCCCCAATAAAACTATGTACCTTTATGACCAAAGTGGGTCTTGGCCACTACTACATGGCCTCAACCTTTTTAGGATCTACTTCAATCCCATCCTTAGAGATAACGTGTCCAATGAAGGCTATGCTATCAAGCTAAAACTCACATTTTAAGAACTTCGCATGCAGCTAATGCTCCATTAACATCTGCGAAACCTCCCTAAGATGTAGCTCATGCTCTTTCGGACTTCTAGGGTATACCAGTATGTCATCAATGAAAACTATCATGAACCGATCAAGAAATGATTTAAATACCTGGTTCATTTAGTCCATGAAGGTAGCAGGAGCATTAGTCAGGCTAAAGGACATCACTAAAAACTCATAATGCACATACCACATTCTAAATGTAGTCTTGGAAATGTCCTCTCCCCTAATTCTTAGTGGATAGTACCTTAAGGGAGGTCAATCTTAAAAAAGCAAGTGGCCCCTTACAACTGGTCAAATAGGTTATCAATCCTAGGCAGCAGATACTTATTGCACATGTTACCTTGTTGAGTTACCTATAGTCCACACATAGTCTCAACAAGCCATCCTTCTTTTTTACAGAAAGCACAAGAGCACCCCAAGGGGAAGTGCTTAGTTAAATAAAACCCTTATCAAGTAAACCTCGTAGCTGTTCTTTTAACTCTCTCTACTCTACTAGAGTCAGAAGATAAGAAGGTATAGATATCGGCTGGGTCCCCGATATTATATTAATACAAAATTCAATTTCCTTTTCTGGAGGGATCCTAAGCAGCTCCTCTAAAAATACATCCAAGAATGCATTCACTATTGGGATTTATGTCATTTCTAACTCTTCTATCTGAATATCCCTAACCACGGTTAAGGAGATCAAGGAGGCCGAAACTAGGCTCTAGTTACCCTGAAATACTACTGATGACTCACTGGGTACTTCAAGTCTTATTGTCTTTAGGTGGCAATCAAGACTAGCATAGTAAAAAGCCAACCAATCTATACCAATTATCACATTGAGATCCGCCATGCTTAACATAATGAGATCGGCCATAAACTCCCTTTCATTAATGTTGATCAAACAAGACTTATACACGTACTCCACCAATATAGACTCTCCAACAAGAATACCAACCTAAAACGGATGATCTAGTAACACAGGTTAAACACTAACCAAGATGCAAAATTCAGAGATACATATGAGTGGGCTGATCTAGGGTCGAGCAACACATGAGCTAGAAGAGAACAAAATGGTAGTGTACCTATGACCACCGCATTGGAGGC